GAGGCAGCATGCCTGAGATAAAAGCGCCTGGAAAAGCAGAATCTGCAGTATCACCTGGGGAAAAAGCACCAGGAGGAGCAGTGTCTGGGAGAGCAGCAGCATCTGGGGAAAAAGCACCAGGAGGAGCAGTGCCTGGGGGAAAAGCCCCTGGGGGAGCAGTGTCTGCAGCAGCAGCAGCATCTGAGGGAAAAATGCCTGGAGGAAAAGCACCAGGAAGAACAGTGCCTGTGGTAAAAGTGCCTGGAGGAGCAGCGTCTTGGGAAAAAGCACCAGGACGAGCAGCGCCTGGATGAGCTGCACCAGGAAGAGCAGTGCCTGGAGGAGCAGCGCTTGGGAGGGAAAAGCACCTGGAAGAGCAAAGTCACCAGCAGCAGCAGCGGCTGGAGGAAAAGCGCCTGGACGAGCAGAAGGGAAAAAGTCAGGAGGGAAATAGATGGGAAGATGTCTGAGGGTGTAGGCTGATGAGCAGCGGTCATCTCTTACCATGTCCGCGTACGCCATGATGTCACGTCTACTTAGATCGAAGGTGAAAAGCAGCTTTTCAGAGTGGCTAAGCAGGCACCATGCTTACACGGGGCTTAAGACCAGTTTTCGCACCGCTGTACCCATGGTTTTTTGCATGATTGAACTGTATTGTTGCTGTATTGTCTCCCATTATATTGTAAAGTGCTGAGCAAACTGTTGGTGCTATATAAATCCTGTATAATAATAATATAGTATAATTTTTGTCTGTATACAGTAGATCTGTATATAGTAGATTTCTCTGTCTGTATACAGTAGATCTGTATATAGTAGATTTCTCTGTCTGTTTACAATAGATCTGTATATAGTAGATTTCTCTGTCTGTTTACAATAGATCTGTATGTAGTAGATTTCTCTGTCTGTATACAATAGATCTGTATATAGTAGATTTCTCTGTCTGTATATAGTAGATTTCTCTGTCTGTATACAATAGATCTGTATATAGTAGATAGATCTGTCTGTATACAATAGATCTGTATATAGTAGATTTTTCTGTCTGTATACAATAGATCTGTATATAGTAGATTTTTCTGTCTGTATACAATAGATCTGTATATAGTAGATTTCTCTGTCTGTATACAATAGATCTGTATATAGTAGATTTCTCTGTCTGTATACAATAGATCTGTATATAGTAGATTTTTCTGTCTGTATACAATAGATCTGTATATAGTAGATTTCTCTGTCTGTATACAATAGATCTGTATATAGTAGATTTCTCTGTCTGTATACAATAGATCTGTATATAGTAGATGTCTCTGTCTCTATACAATAGATCTGTATATAGTAGATTTCTCTGTCTGTATACAATAGATCTGTATATAGTAGATTTCTGTCTGTATACAGTAGATCTGTATATAGTAGATTTCTCTGTCTGTATACAGTAGATCTGTGCAGGGCTGTGGAGTCGGAGTCGGAGGAAATTTTGGGTACCTGGAGTCGGAGTCGGCAAACAATGCTTCGACTCCGATTAAATTTAGATTGGAATTAAAAAAACAGCAAGTTTAAATGTCCCAGTTCACAAAAAGTTATAATGAATGACTTCTCTACTGTAAGAATAAAGACCAATGCATGCAGTGCCTCACGTAACCACAAAACGAACACGTTAAGTGACCGTGAAGAAGCATGCTTTTCATGTGCTTCACTATATGGCACGCAACGCACAATTAGGAGCGGCAATACTTCTACTTTCCATAGTGTTGTGTTCTGCTGTTACAGGGAACGCAGCGCCCATGGGTAACCTCGCCTCTCACTGATGAGGGATTAAGTAAATATATTTTTTTTTTGCAGGACTAGAGACCCTTGTATAAGTGAAGGGAATGGAGGGTCAATAGTTCAAGACTGAAGCTGTAAACCATCGGAAAAAACTGCTGTCATTTAGCTAACACTATAAAAACTTTTAAACTCCGATTGTTAGCTTAAACTTTAAACATGACTATGGGATTCTACTAGGGCAGTGGTGGGCAAGCCGTGGCTCGCGAGCCACATGCGGCTCTTTACACACTTTAATGCGGCTCTTCTGTGTGCCGGGCGCCCGCTCCTCTCCCTCCTCTCGGGCGGCCGCCCCAAAAGTCAGGACTCTGCAGCTAGCCCAGCAATGGGCAAACTACGGCCCGGCGGACCTTTTAATCCGGCCCGCGGAGCGTGGCAAACATTGGCTGTCAGGATGTAGGCGGGGCAGCCTGACGAACTCCTCTCCTCTCACAGTCCGCCCTGAAGACCGGAACGGCGCGGGAACACGGCGAGAGGAACGCGCGGAGCAAAGGTAAGTGAATTGACACAATATGGGGAATGAATTACTATAGGGGGGATGAATTACTATAGGGGGGATGAATTACTATATGGGGGATGAATTACTGTATGGGGGATGTATTACTACTATGGGGGATGAATTACTGTATGGGGGATGAATTACTGTATGGGGGATTAATTACTATATGGGGGGACGAATTACTATGGGGGATGAATGAATTACTATAGGGGGATGAATTACTATATGGGGGATTGAATTACTATGGGGGATGGAATTACTATGGGGGATGAATTACTGTATGGGGGATTAATTACTGTATGGGGGATTAATTACTGTATGGGGGATGAATTACTATATGGGGGACAAATTACTATGGGGGATGAATGAATTACTATGGGGGATGAATTACTATGGGGGATGAATTACTATGGGGGATGAATTACTATAGGGGGGGATGAATTACTATATAGGGGATGAATTACTATATAGGGGATGAATTACTATGGGGGATGAATGAAATTACTATGGGGGGGATGAATTACTATATGGGGGATGAATTACTATAGGGGGGATGAATTACTATAGGGGGGATGAATTACTATATGGGGGATGAATTACTATGGGGGATGAATTACTATAGGGGGGATGAATTACTATAGGGGGGATGAATTACTATGGGGGATGAATTACTATATGGGGGATGAATTACTATATGGGGGATGAATTACTATATGGGGGATGTATTTTCAGTTTTAAAAATGTGGCTCTCAAAATAAATTTCAATCGTGGTTTTGGCGAGATTTGGCTCAGTTGAAAAAAAAGGTTGCCCACCACTGGACTAGGGAAATCATGTTTTATAATAAATGCCCCTTCTTGGATCCTCCCACTGCCCTATCTTCAGCAGATCAGCACACAAAAAAGAGAAGGCAGCAGCTTCTGCCCAACCACCTCTCTCTGCTAGAAGAGCTTAGAAGAATTTGGTGGACCAGCTTCTTGGATTCAACTGTAAGTGTTTATATTTATTTTAAAACCTGCATGCCTGCTTGTCAGTATGAGGGAAGACATGTGTACATGTTTCTGGAAGAAACAGTCTATCCTAGGTTTGTAAGTGTGGTGCTGCAGGAATGTATGAATGTTTATGTATAGTGCAGATTGTTTATATGCTCTGAGTACTAAAATGTAGGCTCTGTGTTGTGTGTGTGCACAGTACATGTCTGTGCATGTTTTTCTGTATAGGACAAATCATGTCTAGGTTTAGTGCTGGGATACTGAGCTTATTTGTTTGTATAAAGCCATGTACGTACAACTTACAAGACTGTGTATGTTGATATTAAAATTCTAATTATATGCCAGTTAGTATAACATATTTTATATTTTAGGGAAAGAGGCATCCTAAACAATGGCAAAAAGACTGCTAACAACAAACACGACAAAGTCTACTGTTTATGAGCACTTTGCATTATCAAGTGATGGAAAACATTACGTGTGCCAATGTATTAGAAAAGATGATGATGGTGAAAAACAATGTGATGCAAAAATTAGCAGTTTCAGTGGTCCTGATAAAAATGCACCTACAAGAGCATCAAATTTGAAAAAGACACTTACAGCGTTTTTATCCCAAAGTGTTAGAAGCCGTGAATGAGAAAGATAGCAATGAAAACATTGCATCTACTTCTGTGACAAAAAAACGTTCAGAAATCTACTGGAGAATAATCACAAATAAGAAAATTCTTTATATCTGACAAAGTTACCATAAGGATGACACCAGAAAAAATTCAAACACCACATTATTGAAATGGTAGTAAAGAATTGTTTACCACTATCCTTCTTTTTACAGACAGCCTTTTTAGGCCTAAATGGAGAAATGGCAAAAAAACTTGGTGTTTCTCTGGAAAGAGAAAGTATAAGGAAACTTATAATTGAAGAGGCCAAATGTAAAAAGGAAGAACTACAGAAAGTTCTGAAAGGACGTTTTGTCTTCCTTAACCACTTGCCTACCAGGCACTTATACCCCCTTATTTACCAGGCCAATTTTCAGCTTTCAGCGCTACCGCACTTTGATTGACAATTGCGCGGTCATGCAACATTGTACCCATATGAAATTTTGATCATTTTTTTCTCACAAATAGAGCTTTCTTTTGGTGGTATTTAATCGCCACTGGGCGCTTTACTTTTTGCGCTATAAATAAAAAATTGCCAAAAATTTGAAAAAAAAAAAAAAAAAAAGTTTCTTTGTTTCTATTATAAAATTTTTCAAACAGGTAATTTTTCTCCTTCGCTGATGTGCGTTGATGAGGCAGCACTGATGGGCACTGATAGGCGGCACTAAAGGGCACTGATAGGCAGTACTAATGAGGTGGCACGGATAGGCGGCACTGATAGACAGCACTAATGATGTGTCACAGATAGGCGGCACTAATATGCAGCACTGATAGCACTGATAGGTGACACTGATGATGGGTACTGATAGACGGCACTGACTGGCATCACTGCTGGGCACTGACTGGCACAACTGGGCACTGACTGGTGGCACTGACTGGCACAACCGCACTGGTGGGCACTGACTGGCAGCACTGCTGGGCTGCACTGGTGGGTGGGCACAGGTGGGTGGCACTGGTGGGCTGGGCACAGGTGAGTGGCACTGCTGGGCACAGGTGTGTGAAATTGCAGAGTGGCACAGGTGGGTGCACTGCTGGGCACAGGTGGGCGGAGCTAGTGGGCGCACTGCAGGGCACAGATGGGCGGAACTTGCGGGTGGCACTGCTGGGCACCGATCATCAGGGCACTGATCATCAGTGCCCTGATGATCGGTGCCGATCCCCGCTCTGACAACTGCCGGTTCTCGGCAGTACTTTCCTCACGATCTGACAGCGTAAGGAAAGTGCAGCCGACAACCGGCACTTGCATTTCCCTCTGATCAGCGTGTCATTGGACACCGCTGATCAGGTGGTAAAAGGCCGCTGTGATTGGCCTTTTACCACATCACGTGATCAGCTGTGTCCGTAGGACACAGCGATCACGGAGATCGCCGGGTGCCGCGCCCCCTGCGCCCAGGAGAGCGCGTTCTGGGGGGACGTCATACGACGTCCACTCAGAACTGGCCGGCCGCAGTGCAGCCGTCATTCGGCTATCTGCGGTCGGCTACTAGTTAAAATGGATGCATGCACACGTCACAGAGTCAATTATTTCGCTATTAATGTTAGATTTGTGGATGAAAATAACAAAACAATAACACGGACCCTCGGATTAAAGGACACTCAGGCACATCACACCAGTGATTACCTTCAGAAGTTAGTGGAGGGTGTTCTAGAAGATTTTGAAACGAAAAAGGAACAGATTTTATGTGTTGTGACAGATAACGCTTCTAACATGTTGAGCACAATTGAGAAGATGAACGCAGATGAAGAAGGTAACAAACAGATATTAGAGTTAGAGGAAGACAGCTCTGCAAGTATTGGAGAAAGTTTAGAAACTGAAGAGAATGCTGACATTTTTTTAGACAACTTTGTTGAAGAAGCATTGAAGCTTGCTACTATTCATCATATGCGATGTGCTGTTCATACACTGCAACTTGCCATAAGAGATGGATTAAAAGATCGCTATGCAGCTACACTAATTGGCAAATTACGGCAAGTAACTGTTGCAGCCAGGGCCCCGAAAACAGATGCAATTTTGAAAAGACGTGCAGGAAAAGGAGCCATTTTGGATCAAACAACTCGCTGGGGAAGCACTTATTTAATGGTGAAGCGTTTGCTTGAACTTAAAGACTTCATAGAAGAAATGGACAATGAAAATCTTGCATTAACTGAAAGCCAGTGGACACAAACAAAAGAGCTGGAGAACCTTCTTTTTCACCCCTTCACTGTCACCAAGAGGTTGCAATGTGACGATCTAACCCCGGGTAAATTCCTCTTGGAATGGAAGAGCCTGTTATATCGCCTGAACAAAAATGGAGGGTTAATAGCTGAGGGCATTGCATCTTCAATGATAAAAAGAGAGTGTCTTTTGCTGGAAAATGAAATCTTGTTAGCGGCTATTTATGTCGACCTAATGAGCTGAATTTTGTTGAACAGTGAACAGACTGCTACTGGGAAAAAGGCCCTCTATGATGTAGCAGTTCGCATGAAGGGATTACGACCTGAAATACCTCCACAGGATGAAGTTCTTTTAAGCAATAGTGGTAACTCAGGATCATCTTCTTCAAACGAAGAATTAGACTTTGATTCCTTCTTAAACAAAATAGAAGTTGCTAAACGAAAGCGACATTGCATAGGCGTTACAGAACCAGTAAATGTCCAAATAAAAAAATTCCAACAGGAGTTTTATAAAGCACTAGAAGAAGTTGAAAAGTATGATCGCTCATCAAAACGTACTGTTTAAGAAGCCATCTTTGTTTATCCAGAGATCGTTAGTGATGTGGCCAGAATAGTTACTGCAATGCCACCCACCCAAGTCAGTGTCGAAAGATTATTTTCAGCCCTAAAAATAATAAAGTCCGACTTAAGAGCCTCTATGAAAGAGGATCTGGCAGAGGCAATTCTCTTCCTTAGAACTCTACATTGAATTGATTTGCATTTGCTAAGCCTATAAACTACATTTCAAGATTAATATAAACCATTTCTAGGTTTTACAGATTTTGTTTTTGGTTCATATAGATAAGCTTTGTTTTTGTTCTAAAACAACCAAATAATGTGGTTTGTATTTTTGGACTGGTAAAGTTCCTGTTCCTGATGTTTATGCCTGCTGCTACTATCCAGCCACTTGATTAATTAATAAAAAAAAATTAATAAAACTTTTGTTTTCATTGTGTTTGTCTTTTGCTTAAACTGTTCAAAAAACAGTAGACTGTTGGCTTCCCAGCCAGTAGTCCTGTGGTAATGACATGCATGTTGCCTTTCTTTCCTTCAAGGAATGTATAAAATACATTCGCATATTAATACAGAGGACTTGGGAAGTCGGAGTCGGAAGTACAAAAAACTGAGGAGGAGTCGGAACATTTATCTACCGACTCCACAGCCCTGGATCTGTGTATATAGTAGATTTCTCTGTATATAGTAGATCTGTATATAGTAGATTTCTCTGTATATAGTAGATCTGTATATAGTAGATTTCTCTGTATATAGTAGATCTGTATATAGTAGATTTCTCTGTCTGTATATAGTAGATATACTGGCAAAAACAGGGAACAAAGGAATTGCTCAAACAAAGGATGGAGACTTTGCTCTCCAATAAGCAGATCTACATAATCCTTGGAGTTGGAATCGGGGCAGCTGTGCCGCTAGCCATCGTTTTCAGCCTTCTGTGCAGCTGTTGTAGAAAAATGAAAAAGCTGCATGATGAGGAGACTGGTGGAGAAGAGCCAGGAGAAGAAAAGCAATGGCAAATGGAGCCAGGAGGAGAAGAGCAATGGCGAATGGCCAGGAGAAGAGCAATGGCATATGGAGCCAGGAGGAGAAGAGCAATGGCATATGGAGCCAGGAGGAAAAGAGCAATGGCATATGGAGCCAGGAGGAGAAGAGCAACTGGAGAGGAGGAGAAGAACAGAATGGAGCCAGGAGGAGAAGAGCAATGGCGAATGGAGCCAGGAGGAGAAGAGCAATGGCAAATGGAGCCAGGAGGGACAGAGCCTGGAGCAATAGAGCCAGGGACAAAAACGCCTGGGGAAAAAGTGCTTGAAGGACAAGTGTCTGGAAGAGCAGAGTCTGGAGAAGCAGCATCTGCAGCATCATCTGGGGAAAAAGCATCAGGAGGAGCAGTGCCTGGAAGCAGTCAGGATCTGGGGAAAAAGCACCAGGAGGAGCAAAGTCACCAGCAGCAGCAGCGGCTGGAGGAAAAGTGTCTGGAGGAAAAGCGCCTGGACGAGCAGAAAAAGTCAGATGGGAAAAAGTCAGGAGGGGAACCGTCAGGAGGGAAATAGATGGGAAGATGTCTGAGGGTGTAGGCTGATGAGCAGCGGTCATCTCTTACCATGTCCGCGTACGCATGATGTCACGTCTACTTAGATCGAAGGTGAAAAGCAGCTTTTCAGAGTGGCTAAGCAGGCACCATGCTTACACGGGGCTTAAGACCAGTTTCGCACCGCTGTACCCATGGTTTTTGCATGATTGAACTGTATTGTTGCTGTATTGTCTCCCATTATATTGTAAAGTGCTGAGCAAACTGTTGGCGCTATATAAATCCTGTATAATGATAATATAGTATACAATAGATCTGTATATATTTTGTCTGTATACAATAGATCTGTGTATATTTAGTAGATTTCTCTGTCTGTATACAATAGATCTGTATATAGTAGAGATTTCTCTGTCTGTATACAATAGATCTGTATATAGTAGATTTCTCTGTCTGTATACAATAGATCTGTATATAGTAGATTTCTCTGTCTGTCTGTATACAATAGATCTGTATATAGTAGATTTCTCTGTCTGTATATAGTAGATTTCTCTGTCTGTATATAGTAGATTTCTCTGTCTGTATATAGTAGATGTCTCTGTCTGTATATAGTGGGTCTCCCTCTCTGTATACAGCGGGTATGTTTGTTTACCATTGTCAGTGCACAGCAGACTGGAGGCTATTTTTAGCTCTGGCCGGAAGCAGGCTGATGATGTCACAGGGTGCAGTTGCCGTGGAAACCTAGACCAAGGAGCTGCAGCTGCAGCTGAGCTCAGTGTCATTTGAGTGGCTGACAGTGAGGAGTGAAGACGTGTCCTGAGTGACAGCTGGTAAAATGAAGATTTTTCTGATTTTCGTTGCACTTTTTTTGTTTTTTCTTGCCAATGGCAAGGCTATGGATCCCACCAAGGTAAAAAAGATCCCAATAAACTCCACAGAATGCGATGTGAAATGTGGAATAGGGCTTAGGATAGAGACCCGATGCATCGTGGGGCCGAAAGGAAAATCTGGAGCGCCTGCTGTAACCGACTGTGAAAGGTTAGAGGTTGAATGTCATGGTATCTGGGAGTGCAAGCCGAGAAATTACAACTTGAACATTGGCGCAAGCGCCACGATGGACTGCCAACCGGAATTTCTACCTGACCATAGAGAGGAAACCATGTCCTACAACTGGGCGTATACTTCTGGAATCACCACGAATGATAACAGCTTTAATGAACAAATTGGCAGCCAGCGCTCCGTCCACATTTACAACGTCACCGAGAGCCAGGCCGGGACCTATCGGTGCAACATGAAGGAGCCCAGCGGCAAGCTGGTAAAGGTCATTTACTTTTATGTTCGGGTGATCGATCCCGACAAACTTCCCTTAAAGTACAAGCAGATTCCTAACCTGAAGGAAAACTGGCAAAAACAGGGAACAAAGGAATTGCTCAAACAAAGAATGGAGACTTTGCTCTCCAATAACCAGATCTACATAATCCTTGGAGTTGGAATCGGGGCAGCTGTGCCGCTAGCCATCGTTTGCAGCCTTCTGTGCAGCTGTTGTAGAAAAATGAAAAAGCTGCATGATGAGGAGACTGGGGGAGAAGAGCTAGAAGAAGAAAAGCAATGGCGAATGGAGCCAAGAGGAGAAGAGCAATGGCGAATGGAGCCAGGAGGAGAAGAGCAATGGCGAATGGAGCCAGGAGGAGAAGAGCAATGGAGCCATGGAGCAATGGCAAATGGAGGAGGAGAAGAGCAATGGCAAATGGAGCCAGCAGGAGAAGAGCAATGGCAAATGAAGCCAGGAGGAGAAGAGCAATGGCATATGGAGCAGCAGGAGAAGAGCAATGGCAAATGGAGCCAGCAGGAGAAGAGCAATGGCATATGGAGCCAGCAGGAGAAGAGCAATGGCATATGGAGCCAGGAGGAAAGAGCAATTTTTCAATGGCACATGGAGCCAGGAGGAGAAGAGCAATGGCAATGGAGCCAGGAGGAGAAGAGCAATGGCATATGGAGCCAGGAGGAGAAAGAGC